TGGTGGTAATTTTCTCGTATATAGCGGGCATGCTACCAATTCGGCTGTCTCGAGATCAGACGGTGTCACGGGGGTCAAAAAGGAAAACAAACCCATGCCTACCTACCTACTCTATGTAAATGGTACGTATTTGTAAGTTCTACTTCAAAAAGCATTCGCATCAAGGCCGAGGTTAGTCTGTATTTATATGCAGCAAAATTCGTACATGTATGTACGGAGCAGACCCGAGTTATTAGTGCAATTACACCATAGTCGGCCCCCTGTCCCGCACCCGCAGTCCGTGGGGCCGGTCTCCTATATCGCTTTGCGTGTGGGGGGTCCCGCACCAAACACAGGAACCGGGCTAGGCGGAGTGGTCGTGCATGGTGCTCAGGATACCGTTACCTAGGGCGTACTTCCGTACCGGGTTACGAAGAAGTGGTGGGTGGGTTGATGTTCCTGGCTTGCCCCTCCACGTTGCCCCTCCAAACACAACGTCTACCTAAGGTATCTTTTGTTGGAGTCGGTCCGGCGCGTCTGGTCCATCTCATGCAGCTGCAATCGAATGGACTCATGTGCTTTACCTAATACATACTGCACGGATATCTTCCATTGCCGTTGCTAGAAAGTTGAACGCACCTTTAAGAGTCAGTCGGCCGGGTCGGGCTGGGTCGGGTCGGCTAGGAAACTGATTGACCGCCACTTGGGATCCCCTTCCCGCTTTGCCATGGGTACTCCGTATGCTGCTGCACTCAAGCTTTCGCCGAGCGCCGCCTCCCCCCCGCCTGGCTTCTCCATGATTTTACATCCAGATTGACGTGAGCTACAGGCGTTAGCAGCAAGTTGTAGGCATGATTGACAAGTGCTTATGGTGCGGATATATTGCCACGCAAGCACCTTTTGGCTGTCCCCACCAGTGAAGTTATAGGAGCTCTATTTTTTATACATCTGCGTATAAGCCCGGCTCTCGGCCATAACCCGAAGCTGTCTCGGGCAGCGGGGCCAAGGATGTTGCCCACCAAAAGAAGGATGCCCGGCTACGGAATGCTTAACATGCAAAATGGCGAATACATTCACCCCCTCCCCCTCCCTCCTTTTGTTTTAGCTGGGTGGGAGCATACATAGTACATGTACAGTATGGGCAGACTCTCGCAGCACCCAATGGGGTAGCAAAAGCTCCGGGTACGGCGAAATTCTCCATGCTCTCACCCACTCAACCCACCCTCGCTCGTGCCTGCCCGTGGGGCGGCCTTACTGAACCGGAGGTGTTGCAGGCAGGGGCAGTTGTAAAAGGCACGACGACCCCGACCCCGCCAACCTTCGAGACCCTTCCTTTCCCGCCCTTTCTCCATTCCCCCAACCTAAACCTTTCCATTGAAGCCGCCGCCTTCTCAAAAGTTCGGACCCTGTTGGCCCCAGTGTTCGAGCTGCGTTGAGAGAGTGTAGACAAAGGTCGCTCGCTTGCTCTAGAAGCAAGGGCGTGCGCGCGTTGAGCTGCCCTCGAGATTGATTTGACACGGTAAGACGGCCCCCCCCTCCATCCCCAATGACTCATGGATATTTCGACATGTCTCTTGGGGTTGTAGACTCCATTTTATTTATGTTGGCCTTCCTCTGCCGTCTGTCTCTAGTATGACGTCGAGCTTTAGCTCTGTGCGCATCTTCTTCTTTTTTCCTTTTTCCTCTATTTGTTCTTGCTTCTTTTTTTTACTCTTTTTTTTACTCTTTGTGCCACTTATACCAAAACCTTATTCGAGCCTTCGGTCCTCTCGATCCTCCCCTCCGCAGAGCTTCATCTTTCCATTGGACCCCCCTCACCTTGCTTCCTAGTCACGAGTCTTTGTTTTCCCGCCCTCCCTTTGAGTGACAAGAAACACCCAGGCTAACTGTCAATGACTTCGTTGCCCGGGGCTAGTACCAGTAACGTTATATATTCTCCTGATCCCCAGTAAAAGCGGTACCCGCTCAGTCCGGCACGTCCACGTCCACGTCCACGTCCACGTCCACGTCCACCCACGATGCATATCCAAGAGATGCTGGCCGAGGCCGAGAGGACGGGCAACCCGTCCTTCTCCTTCGAGTACTTCCCGCCCAAGACAGCACAGGGTGTGCAGAACCTCTACGATCGCATGGAGCGCATGTACCACTTTGGCCCCAAGTTCATCGACATCACCTGGGGCGCCGGCGGCCGCATCGCCGAGCTCACGTGCGAAATGGTGGTGCAGGCCCAGACGTATCTCGGCCTCGAGACTTGCATGCACCTTACTTGTACCGACATGGGCGAGGAGCAGGTCAACGACGCCCTCCGCAAGGCCTACAAGGCCGGCTGCACCAACATCCTAGCCCTCCGCGGCGATCCCCCTCGCGAGAAGGAGAAGTGGGAGGCTACCGACGGCAACTTCCGCTACGCCCGCGACCTCGTGTCCCACATCCGCCAGTCCTACGGCAACCATTTCGACATTGGCGTTGCCGGCTACCCCGAGGGTTGCGACGACAACAAGGACGAAGATCTGCTCCTCGACCATCTCAAGGAGAAAGTCGACATGGGTGCCACCTTCATTGTCACCCAGATGTTCTACGACGCGGACAATTTCGTGCGCTGGGTCGAGAAGGTACGGGCTCGCGGCATCACCGTGCCCATCGTTCCCGGCATCATGCCAATTGCGACCTACGCCAGTTTTCTTCGCCGCGCGAACCACATGAACTGCAAAATTCCCGACGGCTGGCTGGAGAAGCTTGAGCCGATAAAGAATGACGATGTGGCTGTCCGCGAGATCGGCAAGACCCTCGTCGCTGGCTTGTGCCGGCAGATCCTGGCGGCCGGGATCAGGCATCTGCATTTTTACACCATGAACCTGGCGCAGGCCACCCGCATGGTGCTCGAGGAACTGGACTGGATGCCATCTCCGGACCGCCCCCTGAAGCAAGCACTCCCTTGGAAGCAGTCCCTCGGACTCGGCCGCCGTGGCGAGGATGTCAGGCCCATCTTCTGGCGCAACCGGAACAAGTCGTACATTGCGCGCACCCAAGACTGGGATGAGTTCCCCAACGGCCGGTGGGGTGACTCGAGGTCTCCCGCCTTTGGTGAACTAGACGCCTACGGTATCGGCCTAACGGGCAACAATGAGCAAAACCGCAAGAAGTGGGGAGAGCCTCGGACCATCGGGGACATCGCCAACATGTTTGTCCGATATCTGAATAAGGAGATCGAGTACCTTCCTTGGAGCGAGGCACCCTTGACGAGCGAGGCCGATTTGATCAAAAATGACTTGATTGACCTCAACAAGAGGGGTCTCATCACGGTAAACTCCCAACCGGCTGTCAACGGCGTCAAGTCGTCCCATCCCATACATGGCTGGGGCCCTACAAATGGATACGTCTACCAAAAAGCCTATCTCGAGCTGCTTGTCTCCCCGGAAATCTTCCCCGAGATCAAGAGACGCATTCAGGATCATCCTGATCTGACCTACTATGCTGTGACTAAGTCGGGTAGCCTGCACACTAATGCGCCATCCGAGGGTCCCAATGCTGTTACATGGGGCGTGTTCCCCGGTAAGGAAATCGTCCAGCCTACCATAGTTGAGAGCATCAGCTTCCTGGCCTGGAAAGACGAAGCTTTCCGGCTTGGGGTGGACTGGGCCCGCTGTTATGAGACAAACACCCCCAGCCGCCTCGTGCTTGAGCAGATCATGAATACGTGGTATCTTGTAAATATCGGTGAGTTTCCCTGCCCTTTTGTTCCATTATTAGTAGGGCTGACCCTTTTTTTTTCTAGTGAATAACGACTTTCACGAGCAACGGATAATTTTCGAAGTCCTGAACGACCTCAAAGTTCCGGACCTTGACAAGGTGCCGACGGCCCCTACCAACGGGACAACCAACGGCACAACCAATGGGGCAACCAATGGGGCAACCAATGGCACAACTAACGGCGACGCCAACGGAACCCATCACTCTACAAACGGTGTCGAGGCTTCAACAGTGCCTCAGTAATTTTGCCACGGCATGAACAAGCTTCTGCCGGGCGCTCGCCTGTGTTTTCAACATTTTTTGCATGGCCAAAAAATTTCAACAATAATTTTTCAGTAACGAGACGACACAGCATTATATAGCATATAGCATATTTACAGGCGTTGAGCGAACTTGGTGAGCATTTTGGAGTCTGATTTTTCAACAAAAATTGGGGGGACAGGAAACGGGCGAGATTGGGGATTCAGAGCCGGGTCATAACGGATCATAAAAGGAACGTCTAATAAGGCCGTTTTTGGGGTCTGAGGGAACCAGACGTGTGTTGGCGGAGGAGAAAGTATGGACTGGTTCATGCATAAGAACATATCTCAACGATACCCCAGGTGGAATAAGGCGCGAATGCCATTTTTTTTAAATTGTTCTTTGTCTCCTTTCTCAGAGGGGGTTTCTCTAGGGACTTGGCTGGTGCTTCTTTTTCGGAGTTGTCTGGAAGGTTGGCTTGAAGACTTTCACGGGGGCTTTAGGCGGCGTCTCGGGAATGTCTGGTAGAGTGAAGACAAAATGAGAGCAACTTCAACAGCAGCTGCCAAGACAATTGGAAAGTGACGACGTGACCATGAGTGAGAGTATCGTGGATTGTACTGGACCTATTAACTGTGTTTGCTGGTTGACTCGGTGTTGATGACATGGTGGTGAAGCGGAGTGAAAGGGAAGGGGGGGGGTTAACTTGGAAAGTACAGGGAATGGATACTGCAGTTTCGAAAAGTGAGAGGATTCTTCTTGATACTACAAAGCCAAGGGGTAAAGAGAGGTCCACTTTGGACATCTGCAAGACTGATAAGATAGCAAAAACATTATAGCCCCCTTGTGCAAAAAAAAAAAAAAAAAAAGGACAAAATACGTTACAGGCCCAGGAGCTCGAAGTAATTTGTTCGTTCATATCCCTCGCGAGTCCAAAATCTAAATGAAGCAAAAAGACAAGCCAAGGTTCAATCAATTACGGATAGAATGATTTTGATTGAAGATGCCGAAGACGCCAAAAAGTGAAAGTTTGGACGGGCTGGGAATCGAACCCAGGACCTTTCGCACATCGTCGAATGAACATGCTAAGCGAACGCTCTACCAACTGAGCCACACGCCCTTCTCTACTGGCACCCCTAGGGGGTTTGATGAGTGTTTGCAGCGGAATTAGCACACATCAAGTTGGAGTTTTCTGGATTTGGGGGCGTTGGAGAAAGACAATTGGCTTGGCTTGCACCTCCCTACCTGTCTGTCTGTCTGTAAGGGAATGACTTGCGGGCTCACGATATTCTTTTTCTTCTCACCCTTCCTAGGTTTTTTTGAGTATTCTTTTCTTCTTTAGGTTTGTATTAAGTTTATTTTCCCCGCGAGATTCGAGAGCCGTCTGACGCCCCCCGAGTCGTTTATTTAATTTGGAAGACCTGTGAAGGATAGGTAAGGTACCTTGTGTAAGTAGGAACATGTATTTTGTCAAACGAATTTTGAAATGGTCGGCACTTGGCTGCAGATACGGCTATTGTAGCACATAACTGTAAAGTCATGAAAATGAGACTTGTCACCAGCAGGTGCCGCCCAGTTGCCTGTAGTTGTGGGGATGGGACGGTCCAAGTAGCAAAATACTTGAAATGTCCCAGCAAGGCCAACCCGAACAATTGGTGCTCATGCAAGAGCAGTTGGATTGCTATTTATGTAGTTTCGCTAACTACGAGCTTTACCATGCCCTCTTCACTCTCTGGTAGGGTCTCACTAATGTGGACTTTGGCATCTCCGTCGCCGTTTTCTTCTTCTTGGTCCTCGTCCTCGTCCTCCTCGTCCCCCCCGTCCTCCTCGTCTTCGTCAGAAGAATCGGGAGCACTCTCTTGTATAACAGCCTGGTTTCGGATAGCAGCTTCCAAATCCTTGGCCATCTTCTTGGTGAAGCCCGATGCTTCTGCGGTAGCGTCTAACCTCCTGGCACCGTCTTTGCCAACTGTCTTCTTGGCATCCTTGAAAAAGGGGCCCGGCTCCGTGGCCACGAAATGGAATCTCCGCTCAAAGAAGTATTTGATGCAGTGGACATCGCGGTCAAAGTACATCTCGGCGTTTTGGTGCTCCATCGACACCATCTGCGGGAAGTCGATGACAATGGGGGTAAGTATAAGCGGTGGCTCCTCTTCCTCGTCTCCCTCCTTGCCTTTCCCCTTGCTCTCGGTCTCGGGGACTGGTCTCTCTTCTTTGATGAGGATATTGAACTCGTTAAAGTCGCCGTGGATCAGCCCATGCTTAGCAAATCGCAATATGAGTCCGATCAGTTCGCCATAGAGCCCGGCAGGGTCCCGAACGGACGATATCTGCCGCAGCGGGTGTGCGTCGATCAAGGTCATGACGATAGTGTGCCGCGACTGCGCGAGGGGCTCGGGGACGGGGAACCCTTCCTGCCTCAGGGCCTGCATGAAGACATACTCTTTCATGGCCGCCAGACGGGACAGGTACATCCACGAGCCGCAGGCCTGGTTCTTCTTCAGATAGTCGCGGTTGGACTTGACAGTACGGAACGAAATGCGACCCAGCCTGTGGATCTTGAGGACTTTCTGGGTGCCCGTCTCGTCGGCCACGATCATGATGTCACTCTCCTTGCCGACGCCGATACGGGTGCCGACGCTATAGACCTGCCGCCGCTGCGAGTGTGTGTGCAGCGCGAGGTAATCGAGCCCGCCGTACGTCAGCCGGTAACCGTCGTACTTGGCCTCCTTCATGCGGGCGATGAGGCCCGCCTTGGCCAGCGCTGAAATGCTCTTGTGCACCCCGCTAGCGCCGCCTTTGAGCCTTGAAAGTCTCTCAATCAGCTGCGTCGGTACAAGCTCGTGGTTCTTGGTCCCCATTTCGGTCTGCGCAGGTGCTCGTTAGTCGGGCAACAGGAGCCAGCGCAACGGCAGCCAAGAGCAAGGAGGCGCACAAACCGCTGTCAAAACCTTCCAGTCCTCCGCCGTCAGATGGCGCATGGCCCTCGTGTCTAACAACATGGCCGCGGTATTTTGATATCAAATGCACCCCGGTTGTTTGTTTTACCTCGAATTTGTTGGTCAAATTAGGCTCGAGCAAGGGGACTCGGGTTGGGGGGGTACTGGAGACGCTTTCAACCCCACCAAAGAGTTGTCATTCAGGTCCCAAAAAATAAAAGTTATTGGTGCTGATAAGATCTTGTCGATAAGATAAGTACTGGCTGCCTGAGGCCGAAAGATAGCTTCCCTGCGCACAGTCTAGCGTCTGTGCGGGAGCTTCGATTACGGTAATACACTGTACCCGCTATGTATTTCGCTCCTTATTTCGTACTGGAGCGGAATTTTAAATGGGCCGGGATAGAAGACCCTGCAGGCAGCGGCGCCGCCAAGCCTCCAGCCCCCAGCCTCCAGCCTCTTGGCTCTCAGCCCGGCCCGGGCCTGTGCTGTCAGCACTCAGCGTGCCCAACATGGAGCTCTGTGGAGCACTGACCACTGAAATCGGTTGCCTCGTCCAGGCGGCAAGAAGCGTCGCGTAACCGCTGCTGCCAACCTAAGCAACTGCCACGGCGAATTTGCTAAGCTTCTGATTCCGTCCCTAACTTCACCAATCTCGACCCGCATTACCATCCACGAGCACGCTTCCCCAATCGCGCGCATCTGATCCCCTTGCAGGCACATCTCCCGCCCGCGATTCAAAGCCTGTAGGAACTTAACGAACGCCAACACAGATAAAAGCACAAACTCGTGGCTGCTCGCCCACTCGCCCACTTGCCAGCTTGCTCCGGCACCATCGCACCCATCCGTCATCATGGCGCAAGACAGCGATCTGTCGAAACCGTCCGACAAGGCCAAGGGAAAGGCTGTCGACACGGAGCAGAAGAAGCCAGACGAGGCACAAAAGGACGGCGCCCCGCCAGCCGCCAATGGAAAGAAGGATGATAGCAAGGCTGATTGTTTGTTGGCCTTGCCCGACCAAGTATCGCGGCCCCGGGCTACTGCTAACTGTTATTTAGCTTCCGAAGATCTCAGCGAAGAGGACCAGCAGCTCAAGAACGAGCTTGATATGCTCATTGAGCGCCTCGCGGTGCGTACTAGACCGAGCTCCCAACTATCTGTCAAACAGGATGTCCACTGACTCTTGACTGTCGCCGCAGGAATCGGATGCATCCCTCTATAAGCCGGCCCTCGAGGCCATGAAGAACTTCATCAAGACGTCGACTTCCTCGATGACGGCGGTACCAAAACCCCTCAAGTTCCTTCGGCCGCACTACGCGACCATGACAAAGCTCCACGACGACTGGCCCAGCAGCGATGACCGGACATCTCTGGCCGACGTGCTCTCCGTCATTGGCATGACCTTCTCGGACGAGGATCGCCAGGACACACTCAAGTACAGGCTGCTCGCTCCCACACAGGATATCGGCTCCTGGGGCCACGAATACGTCCGGCACCTGGCCCTCGAAATTGGAGAGGTCTACGGAAAGCGCATCGCTGCGGACGAGCCGACCGCTGAGCTTGTCGATCTCGCACTGGTACTCGTACCACTGTTCCTCAAGACCAATGCCGAGGCTGATGCTGTCGATCTCATGAGCGAGCTCGAGATCATAGACGAGTTGCCCAAGTTCGTCGACGAGAACACGTACGCCAGGGTTTGCTTGTACATAGTCTCAATGGTGAACCTGCTCACTTACCCCGACAACGAGCAGTTTCTTCGCGTGGCGCACGGCATCTACAAGACGTACAACCAGTATTCCCAGGCCATGGTGTTGGCAATTAGGCTCAACGACATGGAACTCATCGAGTCAGACTTTGACGAGGCAGGGGACCCGGCGCTGAAGAAGCAGCTTGCGTTCCTCATCGCGCGCCAGAAGATATGGCTCGAGCACGCCAGGGAAACAGCCGACGATGAGGAGATTATGGAAAGTCTCTGCAACGTTCGTATGACTGACCACTTCAAGTCTCTTGGAAAGGAACTCAACATTCTTGAGCCCAAGACCACTGAAGACATCTACAAGAGCCATCTCGAGAGCAGTCGTGTCGCTGGCATGACCAACTTTGATTCTGCACGACACAACCTGGCGGCGGCCTTTGTGAACGGATTCGTCAACGCGGGCTTCGGCAACGACAAGATGATGCTGGTCGACAAAGACAAGGAGAGCTGGGTCTGGAAGACCAAGGACGAGGGCATGATGTCTACGGTGGCGTCTATGGGGACGCTGCTGATGTGGGACATCGAGGGCGGTCTGGACCACATCGACAAGTACACGTATACAGATGAGGAACAGATCCAGGCCGGCGCCTATCTTGCTATTGGCATTATGAACTCGGGCGTCCGGCTGGACTCCGAGCCCGCCATGGCTCTCCTGGCCGACACCGAAAAGCTCAACCACAAAAACCCGCTCATCCGGGTGGCCTGCATCATGGGCCTTGGATTGTCGTACGCCGGCTCCAACCGGGAGGACATTCTCTCACACCTTCTGCCCATCATTACTGACACGTCCCAAGAGATGCGGATATCTGCCATGGCTGCTCTGTCTTGCGGGTTGGCATTTGTCGGATCTAGCAACTCCGAGGTCAGCGAGGCTATCATTACCACACTACTAGACGACGACCGGAAGAGCCAGTTGACCGACAAGTGGACCCGTTTCCTTGGACTCGGGTTGGGCCTCCTCTACTTTGGCCGGCAAGAAGAGGTGGACGTGATTTTGGAGACCCTGAAGGCCGTTGAGCATCCTATGGCGAAGCCGACTGCAGTTCTTGCCTCGATTTGCGCGTGGGCAGGCACCGGCGCCGTCTTGAAGATCCAGGAGCTCCTGCACATCTGCAACGAGCATATAGAGGAGCCTGAGGAGAAGAAGGGAGACGAGCTATTGCAAGCTTATGCTGTTCTCGGTATCGGTCTGGTCGCTATGGGTGAGGATGTCGGCCAAGAAATGGTGCTTCGCCAGTTTGGTCACCTCATGCACTACGGCGAGGCAAATATCCGGCGAGCGGTACCGTTGGCGATGGGTCTCATCAGCCCGAGCAACCCGCAGATGAAGGTCTACGACACGTTGTCGCGGTATAGTCACGACAACGACAATGAGGTCGCCCTGAATGCCATATTCGCCATGGGACTCTTAGGCGCAGGTACCAACAA